ATATATATAATATAAACAGGCATTTTATGGACCAAGGCAATATAATCGATAAAGGTACCGTATATATAAATATTTCAAATTTAAATATTATTATATAAATAAAAAAATAAACATGTAATTTCAATAAAAAATAATATTTTTTAATTATTTTTTTACACAATGTGAATAAAAATTTTACAAATCTTTAAAAATATGTATTTTTTTTAATAAATTCATGTTATCTTTTATCATCAACAAAAATATTTTCTCTAATATTGTTGTAGTAACTATCAGCGAACCAAACACATAATTTACTAAGAGTTTCTTATAATTTTGTGCATAAAAAGTATAATCTTCTAAGTTTTATATCTTTTACAAAAGCAAATTGTATTTTTTCTTAAAAATTTAGAACATGACAAAAAAAATTACTATTTTTTTTGGTAGAAAAAAAATTACTATTTTAAACAATACTAAATATTTAATCTATTAAAAATTTAGAATTTATGATTAATTAATTAAAAATTGAACAATAGAAGAAAAGTAAAAACTACTGCTAAAAGAATAAATTTTTTGTTTGAAAAATTAGAGTTACATTTTTATTTGAGTTAATCACCTATACACTGTTAATGTAAAGTTTTTTACATTAACAACCAATCAGATATGTTAATAGTGTTTTTTTAATTTTAATTTAATTAAATGAGTAAATTACATGACACTATTAATAAATCTGATTAGTTATCAGTATAAACAAATTTTATACTAAAAATGTATACATGATTAACTTTTTTTATTTTTTAATCCATACCAATGATGAGTTTGGGGCAGTTGTCCATTTTGGAACTCGCCGGACCGACCCTAAATATAAACTAACCCAAACATGCATATGTATTAAAATTTTTAATAATTATATTTTATTCAATATATATATATATATATATATATATATATATATAATTAATAATATGTAACAGAAATACTATTTTATTTTTTATCAATAAATACTATTTTATTTAAATGTTTATAAAGATATTTAAATAACTACATTGATTAAATACAATTTTAATAATTGTATTTTATTTTATTATATATATGTTATTTTTATTTTATATATAACTTTAAACATATCTTATAAAAATAATAATGAAAAATATTTTTTAAAATATATAATAATTTTAGAATAATTCATAATAATTTTTAAATAATAGTTATATATGTAAATTAAGAGAAAATTTGTGTTAAAGTCTAACATACTTAAATTTTTTAAGGAGAAAAAATATTTACTTTAACACAAGATAGGAGGGTGATATAATATTTACGTCTTTGATGTGATATTGTTGTAAAAGTTGTTTTGTAATACTTTTTTTATAATAGAAGTTAACGAAACTAATGAAAAGTTTAGAAAATTAGTTAAAGTTTCATATATTAAAATTTATTGATGAGTAGACTATAATTTTTAATATAAGAGAGGAGAGAATATATTTCTAGCATATATCATTAAGTTATAAATATATACTTTAAAAAAATTATAAATATATAATTTTTTTAACCATGTTATTAATATAGAATATCCATTGACAAATTTTTGTAGGAGAATCTGGCTGATCATCTATAGTGGCCTTTCCCTCCCAACCATATTTATTCTATACACAAGACTTAAATCATTAAAATAAAATTAAATAATCTTTTAACCGTTAATACATAATTCATATAACAATTACATCCGTGAAAGTAGTAATTAATTTCATATTTACTGTTTTTATAAATTGAGAAGTTTTTTTAATTGACAAAAAAAAACAACTTTAAACATACTAATTGTTTAAATGATGATAAAAAAAAATTGTTTATGGGTAGATTAAAATTTAAAGCAACGTATGTATGCAACACAACAAGGCAAAAAATGTTGACATATTAAAAAAGAACTCAAACCAATCTTTTGTAAATAACTTAGACATATAGACACAGACCTTTAAAATTAATTATTCATTATAATCAAACATAAGATTATTTACAGAATTAATTTCCCATAAACTTTTATTATATTTTTTATCAACAAAATTTGAATATAGTGACTTGAACTTGATCATTCTAATGAAATGATTCTACATTTTTTTGAAAACATATTATTGGTGAACAGAAAAGCTACAAGTTAAATTTAATTTTTAAAATAGTAATATATATAATATCATAAAACAAAAAAAAATAAAAAGTAATATATATATATATATATATATATATATATAATTTTTTGTATTAAAGAAAATGGGTCAATTAAGATCTTAAAATAAATTAAAGTGACTTTTTTCTTCTATTAAATTAATTACATGAAAAAAATCAAATTATTTATATAAACTTGAATAATAAACTCATTTACATATTGTGGAAAAAAAAAAAAGATACGAACAAATCATTATTATATTTTGAGTTGAGCCTTAGTTATATTTTACATTAAAATTTGAATTTTAGTATTTTTTTTAATAAAAGACTTTTAAAAAATCTTGACAATTTGAAAGAGTTTTAAGTTAAAAATCCTCTTTAGCATGTGGTACTTTGAATACTTGTACTCATTAATCAATAAAATTAGAATTTTATTTTTAGTTGAATAAGAAGTTACAATTAAGAAATATCATTTTATCTTTATAAATATCGACTAAAAAAGAAGAAGTTATATACTTCTTTATTATTAAAAAGAACCTTTATATAAATAATTTAAAATAACTTAAGCAACATGTGGGAAATAAAACTTGTATTAAATAGTGTTCTTACCGGAAATCTGCTGTAGAGATGATCGATCCTCCGAGTAAGATTGGTGAGCCTCCTTCGCTGGTACGATAAATATCAAACTCATGATATAAAAAACACAAGTTTAAATTGAATCTTAAACTATTTTATGTCAATTCATGATAACCTAACTATTGTATGAATGTATATGGGTTGAAATTTTTAAATTGAGTGAGCTTAATGTGTGTTGTTTTTATTATCCTAACGATGGCATTATTATTAAGAATTAATCACTTACACTGTCAACTAATCATATCTTTTAATACATGTTAGTTACTTATTTAATGAAATAATAATAAAATAAACAACTTTAAAAGATATAATTGGTTGCAGTGTAAAAAAATTTACACTGACAATGTAAGGATGACTAACTCTATTATTAATGTGTTGTTTTATCTCCTTCAACCAACAATAGCACTAATATTAATATGATTAAGTTTCTTCATGTTAGTCCTGTGATATAACTTGTGCAAGATCTTATAACATGATATTCTTGTAAGATGATCTTGGCTTTTTGTCAAACGTCAAACTTAGTGTACATGAAATAAATGGATCGAAAATTATAATATCACTTTTTTTATTATATATAAATTGTTTGGTAGTGATTATTAATATTAGGTTGACATCAATGAAAAAAATATAGAGTTAATTATAATAATTTAACTAATAATTTATTGTTATATTTATCATTTAAAGAAGACTGGATTTATCTCTCTTATAAACATGACTTAAGTTGTAAAGGTAAATAAGACTTCAATTGTCTATCGATTCATAGAGACGGTAAACAGAATAAATTATTTTAACTCAATCTAATTTACATGCATTAAATGTTATTTTAGATTAAGTTGACTTGACTTATAGGAAAAATGAGATAGAAAAATATCATGACAA